CATGTGTGTGCTTTCCCAAGATTCTAAGAGGAGAATGGAGGAGAAAGGATTGCGGTGTGGCCATCGCTTTCTGTCTCTCTATCTCTCTCCATCTTTCTGGTGAGCACATGTGCCCTATAAAAAAACCTCTCAAAAACAAAACAAAACAAAACAAGAAAATTGAAGTCATAACTTTTCATTTGTGGAACTGGCTTAAGTCATCATTTAAAAAAATTATTTATTAAATTCTATTTATTCATTCATTTATTTTTAATTTGACAGAGAGAGAGAGAGGGGAAGTGAGAAAGCAAGCCACCAGGTCGGGGACTCGAGCCGTGGTCAGCCATGTGGGAGTGTCCAGCGCCTTAACCACCATGCCACCTGCTGGTCCCATCATCTTTTTAAAAGAAATTTTCCTAGCACCATAGCAATACCCCACCAAATGCAATTTCTGTTCCAGGTATTCAGGTAGAGGTTGCGCTGTGTGCAAAAGCCTGAGAGTCAGAGCAGGTCAAGTTGGTCCCTAGCTCCCCAGGTTCCTAGCTCCCCTGGGCAAAACTCTGGGCGGCTCACCTGGCTTAGATGAAATGAATCACAACCTGCCAGGCCCTGGTTGGAACAGATAAGACTGAAACTGAAAATTAGCGTTGTCCTGCCCAGGGCAGAGGAAGACGAAGAGGAGCTGACAAGGCAGCTCCTTCCATGGGGCCACAGTGGTTGCACCGCTCCTCAGAACACTTGATGAGATGATAGCTTTGGCTTTTAAAACATGCATCTACATTTTAAAAGAAACATTTTTCTCTATTCAGCTTTGCTTTCTTAATATCAGTAACTTCCCCTCCCCTTCCTTCCAGGGGACGGGATACATTTCAAATCCAGTTTTTCTTTGAATACTAATGGGTGACAGGTGGTAGTTCTCAAGTGAGTCCTACAAGCCAGGGCACCCTGCTGAGTGACACAAGAGATTCTTTTTTCTTTTCTCTCTTTCTCTTTTCCTTTCTTCCTTCTTTCTTCCCTCCCTCCTTCCTTCCCTCCCTCTTTCTTTCTTCCTCTCTCTCTCTTTCTTTTTTTGTCATTGAGAAAGAGAAAGACAGAGAGAGGGAAAGTGAGAAATCACCCCGGGGGGATGGTCACAACAATCCCTTCTCCTCCAGTCTCCTTTTAGGATTTCTGGCAAGTGCGCACATGTGCTCTGTGTGATTTTCTTTCTTCCTTTTTTTAGAGAGATTTTTGCTATAGGGTGCATGCACTCACCAGAGAGACAGAGAGACAGAAAGCAAGAAATCACCCCCAGGGGGGGATGGCCACGCCACAATCCCTTCTCCTCTATTCTCTTCTTGGGAGCTTGGGCAGGCATGCACATGTGCCCAGTGTGAATTTTAAGTTGCTGGGTTCGGAAGTTGAACTGTGGTCGGCTACATGGGAGTCCAGTGATGTAACAATTGCACCATCTGCTAGTCCCTGTCCTGCATGACTTTCAAGCTGCCCGGTGTGGAATGTGGACTGTGGTTGGCCATGTGGTAGTCCAGTGCCTTAACCACCACACTACCTTCTGGCCCCAACTGTATTATCTTTTTTATTTCCTGCCCCCCCACTGGAACAACTCCAGGAGGAAGTTACAACTGTCCTTATTTTACCGATGTGGAAAATGAAGCAGAAGGAAGTTGAAGGAATGTTACTAAGGATCCAAAGCCATTAGCAATGAGAAGTTACCTGTGTGCTTCCTCGGGACCCATCTGTATTTACCCATCCACCCACCCACCATAAATAATTTTGAAGGACCTACTAGGAGCCACTAAATAGGAACCATAACGGGGGCGGAATCCTGACTACTTTTTCTTATTTCCAAAATCCTTTCCAGAGGGTGGTGTTTGGGGCACAGGGGGAAGGGAGTCACGCCTATAAACGTTAAAGTAGAGTAGCCTTCTTGTCTCTGTTAAATTGCGGACGTTCTTTTGCTGATTTCTTCCCGAGACATAGACTTTCTTTTCCAATCACAAACCTAAGAACGTCAAACTCATCTATATAACTGTAAGCTTCTGCTTCCAGATGTCCCATCTTTTTTGGCCAAGCCCATGGAAAGGACTCTTCATGTTGATTGACAACTCTCCTGCTCTCAACACTATACAAGAAACCACCAAATCTCAGCACTCCAAGAAACATGCTTGTCTTTCTCCGGGTATGTCAGTCAACTTCATGCTTAGTAATAAACCGCATTAATTATTATTTCTACAGAGTTGGTTATTTCCATTGACAGTAATTTAAATAATGAGTGCTCATGTGTGAATGAAAATCTGTTTTTGTCTTCAAGAATTCAGCATCTGGGTTCTCAACCTTGAGAGAGCTTTAAAAAAATCCAGATGCCTGGGCCATGACCCTGACCAATCAAATCAGACCCTCTGGAGGTGGGATCTAGGCATTACCACAGATGAACAAGCAACACTTCCCAGGGATTTTGATTACAGCCAAATTTGAAAATCAGTGCCGGAGTCCAGCCCTCAAAGTGTGGTGCCTGGATTGGCATAGCAGTATCAACCGGGACTTGTTAAAAATGTACAATCCTGGGGAACCAGCAGTTAGCATAATGGCTATGTCGCTGGATTCCCACGTAGTCGACCGTGGTTCGTGTCCCGGACCCGGTGGCTTAAAACTCACGCCGGGCGCGTGTGCGTACGTGCCCAAGATCCCGGGAGGAGAATGGAGGAGAAGGGATTGCGGCATGACCATCCCCCCTGGGGGGTGATTTCTCGCTTTCTGTCTCTATGTCTCTCTCTGTCTGTCTGGCAAGCACACGCGCCCTATAGTGAAAAAAAAAAAAACCCTCTCAAAAAAAAAAAAAGTACAATTCTGGAGCTAGTGGGTGGCATCATGGTTAAGGTGCTGGACTGTCACCCGGCAGCTTGACACTCACCACAGGTATGCGTGCATGCAAGCTCCAAATCCCAGGAAAAAAAACAGAGAAGAAATTACAGCATTACCATCCCCCCATGAAGGGGGCAGTGATTTCTCACCTTCCCTCTCAGTGTCTCTTTCTCTCTGGTGAGTGCATGTGCCCTATGGCAAAAACCTAAGGAAACCCCCAAAAACTCATAGTATAATAGGGGTATAATAATTAAATGAGAAATAGTACAGTGTGAAGACTAGAAAGACTAATGTCAGAGTCAGACCATCGAGGTTCCAATTTCGGCTATCTTTTATCTGTGCCAACACAATCAAGTTACTTACCCTCTGTGCCTCAGCTTCCTCATCTATAAAACGGGAGTAACAATACCCACTGAAGAGTTGTGGGAATTAAATCAGTTGGTACATTCATGCCTGGCACCAAGCAAGTGCCAAGGGTTTTCTCTGCTGGTGGTGGAGAAGGACGAGGAGAATGAATCTAGATTCACATTGCTTTGAACAGCGCCTGGCACAAAGTACATGCTCTCCAAAATGAAGGGAGTGGCAGGGACTCATCTATGAGGTAGCTGTTCCTCAGCTCCCATGGGTGAGCCTGGTGCTGCTAGAAGTCTTTAACATTTCAAAAGAAACCAGAATTCCAGAGTTTTATGTGCGCTCTCAATTCTGACAAGTGCGCTCGTACTGAAGCGGTGCAAACCAAACCGGAGCACCCTCAAGGGCCACACGGCTGTGGGCTGCCAGTTTGCATCATAGTTTCTGAACTCCCTGAATTCGCTGTGGTTATTTGATTCGAGGAGAATGACAATGGAATAATACATTTAATCAGTTACCTTGTCCCCAAGGCACTTCACACACCATTACTTCATTCAGTCCTTACAATGGGGACCCTGAAAGTGGGTCATTAGTATGTCCCCATTTGACAGGTGGGAACACTGAGGCCAGGTCATTTGGGTGAGAGTAGCGGGGCCTGGGTTGTCCTTACTCGCGGCCTGTGTCCTTTCCTGTCTCTACGGGTCCTGAATGAAGACAGTCCTAAGTTAACGTGTGTCTCTCCTCAGAAAGAAAGGGATGACTGTCTCTCAATAGGGCTCAGTGAATTTTCTCAACTCTCGAAGAACCCAGGGAAGTTTACCCAGATACTCCGAAGTGGCAGGAAGAAGGCGGCATGTCCTGTCCCATCAGGTTGGTGCAGGAGCCTGACCTCCTTGGTGGTACTTTTAGGGGTTGGTCCAGCTTCCTAACCCGCATACGAGTGAGAGGTCACCGTCTTGGCGACAGCAACACTCACGGAAGCCTGTGCTTGCTCAAAAGCAAATTCCTTGTGACGTTACATTCCACTAACCACGTGTCCCTTTGGGTTTCCATGGTAGTCATGTAGCATTTGTGCCCTGTGAGCTGGCCTCAGACACAGTGACGGAGAAATAGCTGGGGGGTGGGGGCGTCTCAGAACACCAGCGGCAAATCCCAACGCTGGCCAAGTAAAGGGTTAAGCCTAAGGGTTAAACATAATAGCTGAATGCCTCCGCTGACTCCCAGTTCCACCAGGAAGGCTGACAGATCCCAACACAGCAAACAATAGCTGGAATTGTTCTAGCGAAAACTAGTCTGGCTGCATCATTTGCCAATAATTTTTTAAACAGCTTTAACTCTCCTCTGCTCCTGTGACTCCAACCTGACCTGAAAGCAAAAGGCAGACTAGTTGTTGTCCTAATGTCAAACCCCAGAAACGAGACACCAGCTTGGACGAGAGGACGGTAAAAGAGTGTGGGGACAGAGCTCTGAGCGGGACACTGTGACTTCATAAGCAGCCCCTGGGGGTGGGGCTGGAAAAGCCCTGCAAGGGACTGTCATCTGTGGATGTGTCAGCACTTTTCAGAGCTGGAGACCGAGGAAGGAAGTCCTGAACGTGAACTAGCACACTTTTACCACCGACGACGAGGAGGAATGGTTTACGACGTAGGCAAAGTTGGGGGCCAGAGGCAGCCATTTAAGCAGTAGGAGGAGAAATTGTCCTAGAGACGGTATTTTGGAAAGAATGTATGTCAGTCCTTCACTCTATTCGAGGGGCAAGTGAGGACCACCACTGCCTCCCCCCCCAGAACTCATAGCAGGAGGCCTACCTTCTCTGTCCCTCAGCGTCCACACCGCCGCGTCAGCACAGTTAAACTTCGGTTTATCCCGACAGTCGCTGTTCACAGTGAGGCTGGGTAAGGTCACGAGTTCTAGCATTTCCTCGTACCTGAAAGGAAACAAAGGAAAATGCCATTTATTCATTAATTATGCATGCCTACTAATGACTCCCCTAAGAGTATAAATATTAAAGCTGATTACCTAAACCCGGCCTTCTTATAAATTCTACATCATAAAAATTCACTAAACTTTTCATCAGAGGGAAATGAGGAATTGAAATGAAGAACTTGCTCCCCGCTGGGGAATACACCCACTTGATTAAAACAGTCCCCTCCTTCATAGTGTACTTTGCCATTAGAAAAATCATATTTTGGTTTCTTTTAAATGTCATCTGAGGGGCTGGCAGGTGGCATGGTGGTTAAGGCGCTAGATTCCCACACGGACAACTGCAGTTCGAGTCATGGATCTGGCCGCTGGCTCTCTCATTTTCCCTCTCTCTCACTCTCTGGTCAAATTAAAATAATAGTAATAAATAAGTAAATAAAAAATAATTCTTTTAAAAAGTCATCTTAATGAGCTGGAGTGAACCAAGGCAACTGCACCTGAGGCCGGGAAGGGCAGGTAGAGAGGAAGTGTTTGGATTTCCGGAGCCAGAGTCTAGGGAGAACTCGGAGTGGACCATGGTTGAGGACAGGGTTATGGTCCTGCGGGCGCCTGTGATATTTAACAGGTCCTTCTAGGCAGCAAAATTCCACAGCCGCTCACTGTGACCCTGCCAAGGATGGAAACACTGGCTCCTGAATTATGGACAATGTTTTGGGGGACAGTGAAGGACAGGAACAATCTCCTTGGGTCTTCCTCTTTTTTATTTTATTTTTTTAAAGAGAGGGATTTTTTTTTGCTATAGGGCACATGTACTTGCAGGAGAGAGAGAGAGACAGAAAGCAAGAAATCACCCCCCAAGGGGATGGCCACACCACAATACTTCATTCTCTTCTCAGAATTTTGGGCACGCATATACACACACACACACATTCCTGGCATGAAATTTAAGCTGCTGGGTCTGGGACTTGAACTGTGGTTGGCCATGTAGGAGTCCCCCAACATGACCATTACACCATCTGCTGGTCCCGAGTCTCCCTAATTTTTTATTAAAAATCTTTCCGGGGCCAGATGATGGTGTAGCAGTAAAATACAATGCTCTGTAAGGCTGACCCGTGCGGGAAGGCTCTGGGTTTGATCCAGAGACCTCCCTGAGCATGTTGGGTGCCCATGATCTGGGGCTGGCGGAGGCTGAGGTGAATCGTGGCACAGGGGTCCTGTTGGGGGAGACGGTCTTTCTCTTTCTTCTCTGTCTCTCTCTTTTGCTCGCTCATGGAAGAAATAAAGAAATATACTTTAAACAGAAAGAGAACTTTTCGAACTCTTGCACCATGTCAGTCATTACTCTTCCTACCCACTGGGGTTAACATAAGAGGTCTCTAGTTAGCACAGTCGGCACTGCCCATGGTGTAGCAATTGTCAATGCTCTAAACTATAACACGACCAGTAACAGTTATCACGAATTCCATCGTCCTCAGAGAAAGGCAACATTTATTGAGAGTCCCTCTTGTCTCAAGGTGATCATTGGCATGATAAGTTCTCAATGCATTAATAAAACACAGTGCAGCAGTTGGTGGCCAAACTCTGATTCTGTCCTAAAAAAAGTCATTCATTCACATCTTCGGTTTCAATACATACCACCTTGAGCAAGTTACCAAACAGCTATAAATCAAAAAGTTTCTCATCTGGAAAATGAGGATTATCAAAGTACTTCCCTGACAAGGTCATGGTGAAGTTTAAGAGATGAAGCATGTAAAGAAAAGATTCGGTAGGTAGAAACCTATTGTCTGTGTGCAGTATGCCAGAGGAATGAATAACTAACTGCAGGGCAGAAGGGTGATATAATCCAAATCTGAAAAAGCAATGCAAGAGACTGAACTGAGATGCCATGCAGTGTGACAACCGGGTTGTCAGTGTTAGGAGGAAGGGTTCTCTGGGTATGATACTATTTCTGTAAAGTTCAGAACATACAAACCAATACCATACACTGTTGAAGGATATAGACACACGTGCTAAAAAGATAATAGTATGTCCAGTTATGCTAAACACCAATTTTAGGAGAATGGCTAACTTGGGGAGTAGCCGGGGACTGCATTTTGGGAAGTGGTATCCTGGGGCTTTAATGGTGTTCACCATATTCAGAGGTGGACATAAACTATGGACCACTGGCCAAATCCAGCCTTTTGTCCTCATCTGTGTAAATCACGAGAATGGATTTCATGGTTTAAATGGCTGAAAAAAATCAAAGGAAAGATACCATTTCATGATATGTGAGGATTATGTGAAATTCAAATTTCAGTGTTCAGAGCAAAGTTTTATTGGAATACAGCTCCGCTCATTGGCTTACTGTCTTGTCCGTGGCTACCTTTGCATTACAATTTCTGAGTAGAGTGGTTTCGATAGAGACCATATGTGGCCCACAAAACTAATGGCATTTAATAGCTGACAGAAAGCGTTTGTCAACCCTGTTTTTGTCTATAAGTCAGGTGCTGGGTACTCCACCATGGGACGGTTAACTCTACACCCATGTATGTCTGAAGCACTTCGTACTTTTTTAAAAAGAAAGAAAGCATTTACTCAGGACTTGGTGTAGAAAGTGCCCTATACATACTTACAATTTAATTTTTTTCTTTTTTCTTTGCCAGCGGGCACATGCACTCATTGAGAGAGAGAAAGTGAGAAAGCACCAACCTGATGGGGAATGGTTCTGCCTCAATCCCTTCTCCTCCATTTCTCCCTTCTTTCAGAATTTTGGGCATACATGCACACTTGCCTGGTGTGTTTCTCAGGCCGCTGGGCCTGGTCTTGAACTGTGTGGTTAGCCATGTGGGATATGCCCACCTTATCCACCATGCCACTAACTGGCCATATCCTTTTTAATCTGATGACAGAATTCCCCACAAATCAGCTTCTAGTGATTTTATCTTTACCTTAGCTGATCATTGTGTCCTAACTATACCACGTACGCATGCATGCTAGCTGCCTGTTTTCTTGTCCCCCAAATGTCATGTTTAGACGGGTTATTTTATTACTCCAGGATTGAGGCTTATGTGTCTCATTCCTTTAATAACCAAGGCAGAAAATTGCAGTTTATCTAAATGTATTCCTTTCATTCTTTTGGGTATGCACAAATAACTTAATATTAAACATAAACAATGAAGTGAAAAATAGCATTGGTTTCCAAACATTCAGATGATATCAGTATTCAGGGTAACAAACTTAGCTAAATAATCAAATCCAGTGAAAATAAAATGAATTATTTTCTTCTCTCCCTGGAGTTTAAATATATTTGAAGTAGCAATATTTTGGGGGTGGGGACAATGTCATTTTCCACATTTTTTCACGGACAATAAAAAAATCACCAAGCATGAAAAGAAATAAGACTAAATAATCAAAATCCAAAACAAACAAAAACAAAAATCAAAGAACAAACCAAACAAACACATAATGATATTCAGATATTGAAGTTGTCAAGTAGATTTCCAAACAACTGATGAAGAAAATACATTTAACATGAAGAATGCTTCTATGGAATTAGACTCCTTAAAAACTGAAAATTACAAGACTCAGAGATAAAATCACTGAAATTCAGAACTCAGTAGATTCATTGAAATACACACTGGATGTGTAGCAGAAAGGTTTAGTGAACTGGATGAGTGAATCCATCTCAGGATGCTGGAAAAAAGATTTCAAAAAGCAAAAAGCAAACATGGACAGTACACAAGAAAAGGAACCACAGAAGGACAGTAGCAAACAATTCGGACACAACATTTAAAGAGAGACAGAAGACTTTCCAAGATGGGTGGAAGCCATCAAGTCATGGAATCAAGATGTTCTGCAAATCCCAAGCAGGGTAAATAGAGAAAAACAAAGACAAAACAAAACCAAAGAACAAAATAACACTCGGGTACAACACATATGCAAGAATATATTAATCAAAAAATTAGCCAAGGGGAAGTGGAAGGCACATTATCTTTGGAGAAGAAATAATACGACTGCTAAGTGGCTTCTCAGCAGAAATAACAGAACCAGAAAATGACGACATTTCATCTACCAATGTAGAATTCCATGCCTGCAGAAATTATCCTTCAAAAATGAAGGACAAAATAAAAACGAAACAAACCAAGATCGAGATGATTTGTTATCAGTAGCCATGAATTACAAAAGAACGTTCTGGAAGCATCAAAATTCAGCAAGGATAAAGAGCAACATAAAAGGGTATGCATATAGGGAACCAGCAGTTAGCGTAATGGCTATGTCGCTGGATTCCCACGGAGTCGACCGCGGTTTGCGTCCCAGACCTGGTGCCTTAGAACTCACGCCGGGTGCATGTGTGTGCGTGCCCAAGATCCCGAGAGGAGAATGGAGGAGAAGGGATTGCGGCGAGACCATCCCCCCTGGGGGGTGATTTCTAGCTTTCTATCTCTCTGTCTCTCTCTGTCTGTCTGGTGAGCGCACGTGCCCTATAGCAAAAAAACCTCTCAAAAAAAATAAAAGGGTATGCATATAAGAAGTAGGAAGATAAATGCAGTTAACATGTTCTTTTTTTTTTTTTTTTAATTTTAAGAGAGGTTTTTGCTACAGGCTACGTGAGCTTGCTGGGAAGACAGAAAGCAAGATATCACCCCTGGGAGGGAACGGCCACACTGCAATCCCTTCTCCTTCATTCTCCTCAGGATTTTGGGCATGCGTGCCCAGTATGAGTTCAAGCCACCAGGTCCAGGACTTGAACCATGTTCGATCAAGTGGGAATCCAGCAACATAACCATTACACCATCTGCTGGTCCCCAGTGCAGTTAACATGTTCTAAGGACCTTCTGCTTTTTTGAATATGGTAAACATACTAATTTATAGTAAACTTTAAGATATACCAAGGATATATGCTATGTTTAAGTAACTACTTAAGGAGCAATAATATATGTAATTATTCTATGTACATTTAGATATTTGATATTTGAATATCAGTTTGATAACCTCTATATCTGAATCTCATGGGTTTTTG